GTAATTGGACGGCAATTTCTCTTTCAGCTCACAAGGGGTGCGAAGCTCCAAGTGGTGAGGAGAAGATAATCATCTCACGATTGTGGAAGAAGAAATGTGAGACAAATGCAATGCCTGTTGGGAAGCACAGTGACAGAAGTAGGACACACTTTAATCTACCCTTTAAATTTTAGCTGGTGGCAATGGCGAGAATGGACGCGATAAGGAAGGTAAGTGAGAACACAACGCCTTCACCTAAAAGCTTGACTTTGCTCAATATCTCGACCCTGTGCATTTAGTGCCTTCAACTAACCAAATGCATTCAACCGCACCATATACGTCCTCATCTAAGTCCGAGTCATCGTCGTCCTCATCGGCATCTTCAGAGTCTTCTTCATCCAGCTCAGCATCTTCTAGCGAATCTGAGAATTCAGCCTCCGAAGACAGCTCCGAGAGTGATGGTGAATTCATTGAGCACTACTGGACACGCAAAACACGAGGTACCACATTTTACTGCCTCGCATTTCCCTCACCACCACAATCATCATCAGCATCAGCATCACCCACTTCTGCCTCCTCTTCCTTCTCCTCCTCATCCTCCACCTCCACCTCCACCTCCTCTTCCTTCTCCTCTACCTCCTCCAAACTAAGCCCTCCCCTAAACTCCAAGTGATTAATCTACCACCTCGATCGTTCAGTGCGTCCTAGAAGTCGACATGCGGAACCAAAAGGTAAACGCTCACATGGTAAGGACAGCCTCAGCTTAACCGGAGACATTGCAACAACTGTAAAGTCATTCGACCTGACATTGACCCTAACATAATCACGATAAAAGCATAACTACCAACACACCTATTCCCATTCTATCACCCACCTGTCCTATTTGCAGGCCACAGACCTGAATCACGCGGTCATCGACGTAAGTAACCGACCTGTTCAGAAACAAGTTCTGAGTCAATTGGCCGCATTCCTCCATTTGCGTTTCCCTTCTAGCACCAGTTTGTCAGAAATGCGGATCCTACAAATATCCTCGCAAGCACTAGCCCGCATAACCTAATTCTAGCGACACCATGGGCTGTTTCATGGAATCGACATTCCTTCCTTGTTTTGCTTTTTTCTGTTTGCTAATAAACAGTTCTCTTTGTGGGAGTCTCATTCATCCCTTTTTACTCTATTGGCGCTGTCCCTTCTCGCTCAAATAAAACCGTCTTCTGAACAGAGACTTCCCTGCTTCGTGACCCTCCCATGGCTGCATCTTTGTCGCCTGAAGTGTAGCCTGTTGTTGGAAGCCTCCGAGAATGCACAAATGTGGTGAAGCAGTTGAGCAAGTGAGGTGAGGAGATGGCGCGGTGGCATTGGGAATGCCTTCCAACAGAGCAGTGCCTAGTCCACACAATAAAATCACTTCATGAAGTACAACACCTAATTAGAGTAATTGCCCATGCACTGCAAG